TTTTTAGTATTTTTTTGAGCAAGTCAAACTTTTAGTACTGGATTTGAGGAAAAAAATTTCAATGTTTTAATTTTTTTTTAATATGAAGGGCACCTCCGATTCCAGATCTTCTAGTACCAACCATAGCCAGGTTCCACCCGAACAAAACACCGTTTCGTGCGACTGTTTTAGACGCACCAGTCCGTGGGAAAGTGTACGACCAGCATGAAACTACATGCTCCCTTGTAGCAGGCCGTGACGCCACACCTTTGAAGATATTGAGACGCTTGTTTTTGCATTTTTTGCATTAAAGTGCCATCTATTAAACCGTCTTCTCAAATTTTCGATACGAGCTACAGTATTTTAAATACAAAATTCGCATAATAAGCATTGTTTTTGAGCCGCTACACTAGGATTCCCCCTTAAGTGAAGCAGTAAAAGTCAATAACTCAAGTTAAGAAAAGTTAAATTTTACTATCGCTTTATTTCGGAAGTCCAACAACTGTTTGGAAAATCGCGTTTCCAAACTATTCGAACAGAATTTTGTTGGAAAATTCCAACTTTCATTTACAGTGCGTGTAAGCAGAGCGATGTTAGGGCATGTCAACATGATCATAATCATGCATGTTATAACAAATGTAACATGATTTTCTAAGAAATGTGACACAGTTTATGTTTTATTGAATGTGACGCGATGTGACGTCACAGTGTTCGATTTACAATGTTATCATGGTTAAAGAGGCATAAGAAGCAACCGTGGACCACCATGATGATTTTTGGCCTGAGAAGCCCAAGCCCAAGGTGCAAAGTTTAACATAGCCAATGAAATTTAGCTCTCAGTTGGCCGAGGATCCTGCCGTCAGATAAAAATAAGCAGGAGAAAAAAAGTCTCATTTCCAGAGGGGGATGAAAAACAATGAGGGTTGGGGAGGGGGTGGACCACCGGGGGGTCGTGTCCGAGCCAGCGCGCTCTCTTGGTCGAGTGTAAAAGTTTGAGTGTTGCTCCGCTCATAAGTCTAGTCGGGGGTGCTGCTGGCGGTGCCGGTGCGGGCCGAAAGAAGAAGAGTGGTTTTGGCTGAGCGGTATGAATTAATTAGTCGACTCGCCAAATTGCGCTTGATTAACGGGAGAGCTGTCCGGGGGAATGGAGATTTAAAACACATAGAGCTAGCACCAGGCGGTCCGCGCCAAGACGGGGGCGGCTGGTATGAGGGAGGGACGAGAGGGCGGGAGGCCGGAGGAGGGTCGCGACCGGATGCCGGACGGTCCTGCCTTGCTTTTCCTGCCGCCGCGCATTATAAAGAGCGGGATGAAAAATTCAAGCTAGTTAGTATGCGTGAAACCGCTCGGGGCGCGGGACACGTGACGCCGAGGAGGCCGGGACATAAATTTAAAAATTTCATGGCGCGGCAGACTTCAATTAATCAGCGGAGAAAAGCGCGGCAAAGGAGGAGGAGGGGGAGGAGGAGGAGGAGGAGGAGGAGGAG